AAGAAGCTTGAACCTCACCTTGGTGTCTGTGTCGTCTTTCCTGGACTCTGCTGGACAGAGTCCTGGCTCGCGACACAATGATACATTATGTCACCACCAAGAATACATTACTTCACCAACTGAAACTCACACAATGTTTACAGCATCCAAGATTTAGCTACATAATATTTATAATATCTTAGATATAAAGTGAACTGTTTGTGATTACTCTTAGCAACTACTAGACTCTATTGTTTCTATATAGAAACCAAGCTTACAGTGCTGAGAAACTCCTGTGACCATAAACTGAAACAGAACTCTTAAGTTATGTTTCCAAGACTGCTAATTAATCAGGGAAGCATAGCCTGTCAACTCGGACCACAGAAACAGAGATCAGGGAAAGTCCCAGGGTGGAAGCATTCTTCCTCCAATTCTAAAGTCAAGCTGTGCCCATAATAGCTCCCAGTATTTCCCTCTTTTTCATTTTATATAACTTCAGGTAATGCCATGACCAGAATGGAAAGACCATGCCTGTCTTAGGTTGTGTTCTGCTCAAAGCCTTACTACGTCATCGGCATGCAGCTTCTATCAGCTATGCCCTGTCTTAGATTGGCTTTTCCCAGAAGATCTTACCCATCTTTGACTACTGGCCTCCATGAGTTGATCAGGCCTTGACAATTCCCCTTTCTTTATTAGTTTGATCTAGATTTTCCTTTTGAAAATGTAGGGAAGACGAGAATCTCAGCACTTCTTTTCCGAGCTTCTCGGTTCAAGCATCGGAAGGCACATCGACCTCCTGTAAACAATATGCAAAGAACAATTATCAAGATTACTAAAGAAAATCCAGAACTATGTATTATACTTTGAATCCATCCTCGAGGATCAAGACCAGAAAGAGTATTTGCTAAAGTAGTAGCTATCTGATCAAGAGAACTTGCAAAAGGTATTTCTTCTGAAAACGCCTCATATATTTCTTCCTGCAATTGCATCTCATTAAAAGTTACATTATCCATTTTGCCTTGAATATACAACTCTGTATTTTTCCATTTGTATTCTGAACCATTATATTTATATGGAGTAATACAAAGTTGAGTAGAATTCCAATCACACACATATTGTACAGTTTTCTGCAATTTCATTAACTTATTTCCCAACCAATGAAGTCCCCTTGAAAAGCAACAATTTCTTCTTGTAATCATGAATTAATTTAAGTCTGAGGTGTCCAAAGT